ACTCACAACACCTTACCTTTTCCTTGCTTTGTGTCTGTCATTTTCACATCTGTGATCTACTCTTCTGCTCCTCCTCTTGACCTCTTGTGACATTGTCTGTTACCCCCTCTGTGAAGCCTAAAGTCAATTAAAGGGCTAACGGTAATCACCAAGAAGCCTGCCATTTGATATAAATGAATTAATTAATTTTAAGCATGATTTTTTATTGATTTTCTGATACTTATTGTCACTTTTCGTGGTCTTCTGTATTAAATGTGACTTTGATCCATTGAAAAACTATTATTTTGTCATTTTCTCACTGTCGATCGTCTCCTTTTACTGTAAGCATAAATAAATGAAATAAGAAAAAATTTGTAAATCGCGCCACAGTGCAACAAATGCGCCCTAATAGAAATCCCATGTCTGATGAATGGTCTAATTCCAGCTCATTCCTTATTCAAAATGTAAAGTTAATTAAATGAGCCCTCACAGGTGTTCCACGTGGTTCCTGCAAGTCAGCGTCCATACAATATTGTCATTACCATTGTTGCAGTCCCCAACAAACCATATATATATATATATATATATATATATATATATATTGTTCACTCTGATGGTTTCCGTTCTAATATTTTGTTCTTGTTATCCGTCATCTGGATTATTGTGGAAAGTCTTACCCACTGAATCAAATGTTTAGTGAATATGGTGATCGTTTTCCAAATCTTGAGAAAATGGAATAGCCTCATATGTTGGCAATTTTTTGGCTGTAATAGGGCTATTTAAGCTAAGCTTACTCTGTGCGAACAGTTTGTTTAAATCGAATTGTTATCCCTAATCAAGGCAAAGTAAAACAAGTTGACATTTTATAAATATATTATGAGGGAGGCCAAAGAAAAAGAGATGATTGAAGATACTTTATCAATTTTATGAAGATTTCGATTGATCTAGAATTTAAGTGGTATTGGCAGGTTGAGAGAATTCAAATTTCCTTTTAATTGTCTTCAAGTATTCTTCATCGCCGCTACATTTAAACTGCCGGTGGCATGTTTTCAAACGATTGTGATATCACCTCCATTTCTCAAGCTTCGGAAGCGCCAGTCCACTGGTGGCTGCTTGCCATCTTCTTTCCAACTCAAGTGCCTTTACATTAGAGTCAATGACATCAGGCACTCATGCAGTCTATTTCGATTTCCTCATCTCTGTTGTTTGTGTTTAGTAATCTGAATCACAATCATACCTGCTTCACATCTGCATTTAGCTGCCCTAACCTAACCCATTGCATGGGAAACGTTAGATTTCATCGAAATTTCATCATGTGTTAATTTAAAAGCCTCGACGATTGTTTGCTCATTTTTGGGCAGACTTGTCACGAGGTTAAGAGTAAATTAAGCCTCCATTTGTCGTCTACTGTACAAGCCCAACATCCTCCACTGAGCTTTGATTTGAACAGCCTTGGATTTTTAAAATCCTCATTGAGACGAACAATAGGAAAGGCTTGACATATAGTGCACTGACCTGGGTGTCAGCATTTGTCTTTTGACTTTCGCGGTGCTAAGTCTTATTTCATTGTCAACTTGGCTCTTATCATTCATGCGAAAAATCTCACGAACATCTAACTAAAGGTATGGCGGTTTCCGATCTTCCTCTAAGTGCATCAAGATTACTTTATCACGCATCATTTTCATGGAATATTTGCAACGTTTTAGTCTACATCGTAGTAGAATCCCTAACCGTGACCAATCAAATTGGTTATAAGAAAAATGTTGTTAGCGTTTCATAAATGGCTTATAATATGTTATAATCTGACACACCTTACCATGAGTTATACCACACTTGAGTTTTTTCGAAGACAATTTGAAAACTCTAGAAGTTACCTAAAGCTGTTGGCAGCTCTAGTTTATACAGTTTCGCTCAATTCCATGAGGTGAGATTTAAAATGAAGGTCAACCTTAAGTCAGTGAAGCTAATTGCTACTTTAAAATTTTCAGTAGAGAGATTCGAAGTAAATTCTTCTAGCAGCAAGGATCACCTATTCTATGGAGGTTCTTGGATGAGATTCATGTTTCGTACTTAATAATTGTTCAGTTATAAGTAAATTGGATCATGCGCCGAAAATTGCTACAAAGTGTTTTCACTCTGCAACGAAAAATGAAAATTTCAGCAATTATTTGGGTAAGCGCTCTTTACTTCAGCTTGCAATCATTAAAGAATTTCAAAAACCACGTATTTAGAGATGATTCACTTCACTAAGAGCTAGGCAATGTTAAAGAATTTTTTGTCAGAAAAAAATACAGTAGTAATTCAATTTTACTCTGTCTCCAATGAAATTGTAAAGCAATTTATAGCATTTGTATGATTCAACTCAGCAAATTAGAATTTTACATAATTATGACGCTGTTACAATGGCATTTCGTGTTTCTTATAACAACAAAGACCGGCTTGGAGCATAAGAGTCATTAATACCAGTGGCATCTTGTCAACATTTGCGGAAATAAGTTTGAGTTAATAAGGGTGAAGTGGGAAATAACTGATGAGGAATGTGCTACCATCAGTTAGCACGGAGTGGATTTTATAGCCATAATTGCATATATAATTAATCCAGAGTATGGTTCTGTTTTCGGCTTTTGACAACTTTCCGTGTCGGCCAGAACAACAAGGATGAGTTTTTGAGTAAAAAGTAGAAGCAGCTGTTCGGTGTGGCAAGACCTAACGTTCTGGAGGAGCCACACTTACCCATAAAGCATCTCGAGTCTAGACGAGAGTACATAAATAAACTAAGCTTTCCAATTTCCCATTACACCAATCGATCACTACTTCTTAAAGTTGATTGGCTGGAAAATTTTAAAGCAAAATGAAAATAAGAAAATTGAGAAGTATTTTGACATCAAATGTATAAAATTTTAATGTCATATTTTGCGGACTTAAATCTCACTTATAAGCCAATTAAATAAAAGTATGAATTGAAAACTAATGTTAAGATGCAAATGAGAACATTTCACAAGAACAAAAAAGTACTTTTCATTTTCTTGCAAAACTTATATAAAAAAACTGTTAAAAATAATGAAGCCTCCAAATCTGGTCACTATTGAGCTAGCAGTTAAAAGTGCAATTGCAACTTTAGCGCATATGAATGAGTTTATCAAATAATTCGTACAGTTGAAAAATAAGGTCTAACCAAAGAAAATGTCAATAACAAAAGGTTGGCAAATTTGAAAATATGACGGTGGTCTGATTTAAAAAATATTAAACAAATGAAATGGGTAATTTAATGAAAATATTATAAAAAGACTTGGTTTAAATAAGACACCTTAGAGATTAAAGTATTTTGTATCTAACCTCAGAACAGATGTCAAGCCCAATGTGTTTATCATGTCTTCTGTCATCGCGATGCAACTTTGGATTGAATTCAGTACAATGGTTTTGATGGATAGCATCGTATATACTTAATTTTTCATGTTGCTAATTAAAAACAATGTAAAGAACATTTTCAAATTGAATTTCAATCTCAAATCAAAAATCAATTACTCATCAAAATAAGTCTGTAAGTATATTTGAGATAACTTTCCATGAATTACCTTCTCAGGAGCATTGAATACAGTTCTTTCTCGTGCAATATGATTATGTGGCTCAATATGAGCCATTGCTGACAAAGAGGCAAGATAATTACATAGCTCAAACTTATCAGTGTCTGTTTTTACTGTAAGTGTAACCTTCCTATTACTAGCAGACATCGTTTTCAAATGTGCAGCAGACGCTAGCGACGCCCAGCGAATTTGAAAGAAATAATACTTTAGTACATTTAAAAGATACTTTCAAATAATCGAATTGCTTTAAATAAAGCTTTAAAAAAGTTCGAATCATAAAAGATTCTTAATTTAGATATATTGAACATTTTTAAAATTACATTTTTGGCAATTCACCTTGCACAGCAGGTAAAGAGAAGTTTGAAAAAAAACATTAAAATAGTTTTAGATTTTGGATTGAAAATATAATTATTGAATTTACTTGTTACTAATTGAAGACCCGAATAAAAAATAAGGAGAATAATGGCTATTGAGCTCTAACATCAAGTATAATTGTGAGAATGCTTTAAGCATTGCTATCATTACAGGAAGTGCTAGTAAATTAGACACTGTAAGAAAAGCACCATCTAGATTGATGCTTACAAATTGAAAGTTCATCAGAATATAATTACCTTAAAGGAATTATTCGTTGCCTACAAAAACGGTTTTATCAATTCAAGCGAAATACAATCAAAAATGCACTTCAGGTCTTTTAAATTTTAGGAAAAATTAAACTCAACTTGCGTGCCCTGCAAATAGAGTTTAGATAACATCAAGAAAATTCGGGAATAGCAATTTATGGGAAGACATACGCCCTTTCAATAAGAAATTCAAAAATTCGCATCTGTATGAACAATTTCTTTTATTGCTTTAACAATAAAACCTGAATAAAATGCTTTTATAATTGGTTATTAACATAATAAATGCAAATGGGAGTTAATGTGTTGCTAATTGCGGTTCATTCAGCTTATTTATTTGTCATTCAGTGTAGAATTGACTATGAAGAAGTAAATGACAGAAAACCCGCAACCATAAACATAGCTTTGAACATGAGCTTTCGTTAATATTTTTATTAATTTAATAATTGTAATATAAATGGAAATTTTTTAGCAATTTTGATAGTGGAAATATGAAACTATATATCGGATATATCTTGATATGATTAAAGAATTAATTGCAAATCAATTGATTCAATTACAAATAAAAATTGCTATCGGATTTTGATTAAGGTTTAATCAATTTTTATAGAATGTTAGTTATTTGTTATTACAAATGCCTTCCGGTATTGTCGGATATATTTATAGAAGCAACTGTAAATAGAAACTTCAGCGAATATTATACGATACTTTTACAAAGGTATTTGATTTTGTGTTTTACCAAACATTTTACCTCGCGGTCCTGTGTAATTCGTGTTGTTGGGCTGTGGGAAATAAGATTTATTTTGTAATTGGTCACTTTATGATGCCAGGTGCTGATATATCCGCTGAATACCCATCTGCCATTCCTCAAGTCCCACCTAACTTTCATGTCGAAACCGTTGGAGAGTCGCAATTTGTAATTCCCGATCGTTATTCAGGTCTTAGGCCTATTGGAACCGGTGCTCAAGGTTATGTTGTGTATGTTATTTTACATCCCAGCATTTTTTTGACTTTACAGTCGTTTTAAATGTCATTTATTAAATTTGTATTTCTTGATGCTAACGTTTACATCGACTTCTGCAGTTAGCATTATATCTGGTAAGTTGCGCTAGCTTTAGCTTTTTGTTACTGTTTTATCCCCGATTTTGTTCTTATTTTGAAAAAAATTAACGTTCTTAATTTTTTCATAATTCTTCCTTTTAGCTCAGCTTTCGATTCTCTTTCTCAACGCAAAGTGGCTATTAAGAAGTTAACACATCCATTCCAAAATGTAACTCACGCCAAAAGAGCGTATCGAGAAATTGTCCTTATGAGGCTTGTCAACCATAGAAATGCAAGTTTACTCTAATTCTCTCATGTTTTAATTTTTTTATTTGGTGAACATTGTTCGTAATTTTTTGACAGATTATATCCCTTCTCGATGCCTTTAGTCCACAATCAATGCTATCAGAATTTCAGGATGTCTACTTGGTAATGGAACTTATGGATGCTAGTTTATCCCATGTACGTTATTTTTAATTGACTTACTCTTTTCGTTTTCAATATTCCTTACAACTTTTTTAAGATTGCATGTAAAATTTTTGTGAAGGAATTTCGTTTTTAATTTAATTGCTACTCAATACATTGATGGAAGTTGTTTACTTGAGTAGGTGTTTTAGGGTTTAATTTGTGATGTGTGTTGGTGTATTGAATTCCAAATAAACTTCTTCTCTTATTTTTTCCGTGTATCACATGCCTTTGTGTGCTTAGTAGACACCTCCCATTTTTTTCAAAAGTAATAACTTAAGTAGTTTATTTTTGCCTCACTCACGCTCTGCTTCTCTTTTTGATCAAAATTAGCCATTTATCATTGGGCAAATGTACATTAATCTCGTCATCTCTGGCTTGGCGGTTGTTGTACTCCTTGATCTCTTGCATTACTAACTGAGTTGCCCAATTAACTCCCCATGAGTATTTACTCATTTCCAGCATTAATTTGTATTCAATTGGGTGCATATTTGCTGGTGTTTGTGTTTCTACACTTATACTTCTCCAATTTCTTAGCACGTTGCTTAGTTGTGGTGTAATACTAGCATGTATATAAGGTCAATTCTTATCATTTGACCTAACGTCAAAGATATTTTAAAGGGACCCTATTGCCATGCATGATTGATAGTAATGCTTATATGAAAATATGTAGATGGCATTTATTATCTCCGTATTTGTCTTGTTCAGGTACTCAGCTCCAATAGGCAATTAGACAGAAAACTTCAAGCCGTTTACAATGCATTTATTAAGCTTGGTAATTTGTGTCTATTTTGAGAGTCTGTCTCTCGGTTAAAGCAGATTTAAGGACACTCTCACTGTTGTTTTTGCAGTCGTCTGTTATCTTTCATCCTACCCTAATATCAACTATATCAATAGGTAATGAGTTCGATACTGCCGGTGCTTCATGGTGTTTCTCCTCCGTTATAGATAAATGTTGTCAAAAGCCTTCTTAAATAGGTTGTGGAACTCATTGAACCAAAATGCTTTCCAATTTGAAGTGTTTGGTTATTTTGTTGGGGAAATTTATGTCTGCCCTCTTTATTATACACCATAAAGCGTTTTTGAGCGTTGATTAGATGTATTCCTATTTTCTCATTTTTAACTGAGTTGTCCACTCACAGGTATTTAAGTACTTGGGTTTTCTTCATACTTCCAGGTGATTCATATGGAATTGGATCATGAGCGCTTCTCCTTCCTTCTCTACCAGATTCTATGCGGATTAAAGCATCTCCATGTAGCTGGAATAATTCATCGCGATTTGAAACCCAATAATATTGCCGTAAAGCATGATTGCACTCTCAAGATCCTTGACTTTGGATTGGCCCGTTCCGTCACTGATAATTTCATGATGACACCCTATGTGGTTACTCGGTAAGCACCATCATAATTTTCTTATTGCCGATTGGTTAAGTTGGTAATGCATGTTACTGATTTCAATTAAGTAGTTTAGCTAGGAATGCTTGATCACTTTGTGGTTACCCTAAAATTATCATATAATATCGTTGGACTAAGATGAGTTAAGACACAGTGTGCTGCATTGGAAGTAAATGCGAGATGGCGTTAGGGATTTTATTAGTCGTTTCCGATTAATTTGAATTCCGGTTTTGGCAGTTATTCGTGCACATGTTGAAATAATTATTGGATCATTTATTTGCTAATCTTTACAGGGAATTCAAGTTGATGAAAGGTTGGTTGGGTTTCAAGTTACTCTCCGTCATTTAGTTGTATTTATCTTACTTTGTGTTCATTAATTATTTAAAGAATACAAAAGGGGGGACGGGTACAAGGTGGGTGTTGGAGTTAGAACATCAAGAGCCATCCATGCTTCTTCCTTAATTGAGTTGCTCGTATTCTCATATGGGGTACGGTCTTTCTGCTGCGATTCCAAAAATTTGATTCCACCTGTGTCGGTAAAATTGAATCTCTGATTAGTCGTACCACCACCACCACCATTCCTTTGAATCTACACAGTTGAGTGTTAGTTTATAAGAGCTCATTGGAGTCCACATTTTAGCCAATTATAATCCATATCAAGGCGAAAAATTCCTTTAGAATTTTCTTTGTGTAAAATAACTGAGATTGGTAAACGGGAAATCCCACTAAACGCTGAAGTTGAGGAGTTTGAAAAGGTTTTGTGTGTGAAGTCATTGGACCGTTTTGGAATAAAGTTGTGTCGATGTCTAACTGTGGTTAGGAATACTGGAACTCTGGAAATTCAACCGAAAAATCAGCATTGGCATCGTTTGGAGCATTTCGGGAAATCTCCCAAAGATTCCAAGTGGATCCACAATCTCCAAAGGTTATTATGATTAACTGTCATCATTTTCTACACGTTGTCAACTCTTTTCAGTAGTTGCATATGTTTGTCGTAAGGTATCAGAATTCTTGGGCCTTCGCTTGGCAGTAAGTTGAGTATAGCCTTCTGACAAATAGTTTTACCAGTTCTACCCTTCTCTCTGTCGACATATCCACTTTCGATGGAAGACAAGTACTGAACATCTCGAATTCACCAGATATTGAGATCTAGGCACATTGAAGATGTTGTTTGTTGCAACAGTTTCGGATTCCTCTAAACTCTGAACTTTAATTATATCTGTCAAGAATGGGATTTGACTGTTTATGCTATTTAAAGTATAATATTAATTTTGCCAATTTCTGTGCAGTTACTATAGAGCGCCTGAGGTGATACTTGGCATGGGCTATACAGCCAACGTGGACATTTGGTCAGTAGGTTGTATATTTGCGGAAATGGTGTTGGAGCGAACCTTTTTCCCCGGGACAGACTACATCGATCAGTGGAGCAAGATCACTGCCGAATTGGGCACTCCACCACGAGAATTTATCGATCGACTGGATCGAGATGTTCGCTCCTATGTCCTCTCTCGTCCACATGTGCCTCGAAGATCCTTCGAGGCCATGTTTCCTGACGACGTTTTTCCTGAATCAAGTAGAGTATGTGGAGATTATTCAAAGTCCGTATTTTTTTTCTTACCAAATTGTTATTTGTCTGTTACTTGTTTCTCTTTTTTTGCAGCGACATGCAGACTTGAACCCCACAATGGCGAGAGATTTGCTCAGTCGAATGCTTGTGATTGATCCAACCGAACGAATTACGGTGGATGGTGCCCTTCGACACCCCTACGTTGCGCTTTGGAGCGATGATGCCGAAATCAATGGGGTATTGCTTATTAGACTTCTTGCTCTCTGCTTGTATACGCTCTTAGTTATATATAGTTGTGGACATCTAGTCTATGTAATGCACTCTAAGAACTGAAATTATTTCATCTGTATGCTGTTAACTATTTTAGCCTCCACCAGGATGCTACGATCCGGATATTGACAACCAGACCCGGTCCGTAGAGGAGTGGAAGGAGATGATATTCAATGAAGTTCGTAACTTTACTCCTCGAATGTCTACTCAATCGTCAAACGCTCAGAGCTCAAATCCCCAAGCTCCTATTTCCTAGATCGCCTTTTGTCCTTGAACCAATCTTTTTTCTCCCCTCCCCCAACGCCGCCCTCTTCCTCCTCGACTGCCACATAGCGCGCCACTCAACAAACTGATCTCTGAATACTCTCTTCCTACTTGTGTCTATATTTCTGCTGAATTTTCCCCCTCTTCATCTCTTCTGATCCTTGCTCTCTTTCTCTCCCTCCCTAAGGGTGCTCGATTATCTGCTTCTACTACTTCCCCCCCCCACACACACACCGACGTATGCGAGTCCCCAATATTTTTGTTTGCCGGTCTGTGTCCCTTTTACTACTATTATTATTATTATTATTTCTGCTGCTACTCGTCTTTGCTTTTCGCTTCTTTTGTTTCTCTTCTTCATCTCTTCCTTCAATTTCTCCTCTCTTGTCTTCTTTACATCCCCAGACCTTGCCAGTATTGAAGACGACGTGGACGTGAAATACCGTTATTACTACTACTATTACTAATACAATGCAACTATTCACCAAGTGCACATTTGGGGCATTCAGATTGCTGAGTTTGTGTGTGTGGGCTGATAACGTTTGGTGTACGGCTTATATGGGGAGATGCAGGCATTTTATTTTCAACCTCACATCGATGTTGATCTCGACTTCTCCCTTCTCATCACTACACGCACTTGGCACGTGTGCAAGATGGGGATCATAGAGACCCCAGGTTGAATAGAATTCTTTGGTGGGGGGGGGGGGGGGAAANAAAAAAATTTTTTGGGGGGGGGGGGGGGGGGTAAAGTGAAGGCTGAGAGTGAGGGAGATGGTACTTGTGCATGTGGTTGGGTGTTTGGAGGTACAGTTAGAGACATGGATTATGCTTCAACTATTGCCAGGGAAGAAGGGGACGCATTTGAGATGACGATAAGTTATTTGGTGTCGGAAAAAGAATCAATTGAACCATTGTTTTGTGCGCTGGGTCTTTGGGATCTGCATTAAGGAAGCAGCACAACCGTGTAGGATCAAGCGGGAGGGTGCTCGTGGTGGTGTCATTTGCTGGGCCCAGAGACAGTTTTCATTCCAGATGGCAGATTTGGGGAGTGCTCTATTGCGTGACTGTAATACACAGATGCGTGGTCATTTAGCTTCAATGTTTAAATCCTTTAACTATTACAATGTCCACAACTTGAAATGTACTTTGCCAGCTTCTGTTGCAGCAAAGGTACCTTTTTCTACCTTGGAGATTTCAAATGATTGATTTAGTTAAAAGCAAAATTGTAGTCCTTAAGCCACTGTTAGGGCAATTCGATCAGGACGAGATACGAAAATCATTGGGTTTGACCACCTTTTCACCTTCGAAATACCTTCGGATTTAGTTCCTATTTCTCAAAAGGCTGAAATCCTCCCTCGTGTAAATTCAGTGCAATATAATATGCAAGTATTCGCAGAAATGGAGGCAATGATTCCACCTTATCGAATAGACACCTACCACAAAGGCGACCTTTCGAATCCTTCAATGGACGGCGCCTTCAACCACTAACCGGAAGGTCCGTATTATCGAGGTGCCAACTGTGATTGCAGAGTGTCCAAAATTACTCATCCAATGTTTAGGAATTGAAAATGCCTGGTTAGTGGCGAGTACACCATTTTCGTTACTGCAAGCTTAAAGTATGCCTGCTCCAACCTATGCAACTATCAACGAAAGATTTTAGTGCCTCGGCGTATTTGCGCTGTGTAAAATTAAAAGTGGCAGAGAATTCACACATCGGAATGACATACTCATTAGTGCTGAAAGGCTTGACCCAAGTCTCTTCAAAAGATCCTTTTGGAACGAGCAGTGCATCTCAACCGGAAGCCCTAATTCATGAACCAATTAACCCTACACTGCGCCTATGGTTATACATTTACCAAACTTAACAAACTGAACTCATGTCATCCGTATAAATGAGCATATTTACTTGCTGATGGGCTTAAATTACATAAGGGACGAATCAACCTAGCTATGTTCAGCGGTAATAAATGACGTTGTGACGCGCTGTATTTTGACCCAAATAACTGAAAACATTTAAATTCCCCGAGAATCAACCTTACCCTTTCATATACCACCACCCCCAAAGTCCTGCTTATTTTTCTTGCCCCCAATTAGTTACTCCGAATAAACAAGTTCTCTCAAGTGGTAGACATTTCAGTCGCAAAGCTATCAAAGTCCCCATTGCAATCAGCCAACGATTGGATGGAAGGTATAAATGATCGCTCATTCCCTAGGTACAGGCTTTCAGAGCGTTAAGGAGAAAGAGATAAAGGAAAGGACAATGTAAAAATAGAGCCAAAAAAGAGAGGGAGATATATTGAGACAAATGTTTTGTCTAAAATCCTTGCTTGGCCGAAGTACAGTGGGGTAGAAGAGACGAAAAATGATTAACTACATGGATATATGTATATATATATATATAATATAAACTATCGCTTTTCTAAATTCAGCGTCTCTTGAGGAACCAGTTTCAAATCTGCCATACTCTTGTCATCAGATTCGTCACTCGCAGTCAACTAAAAGTAAAATTATCATGTTACTGAAATCATTTAGGTAGAATGTTTTTCCCATAAAGGAGGCAAATGCACTTACATCAACTCGAGGATAGGTTCTGAGGAGTTTGAAATTCAGCACACCGTATCCCAAATATTCCATAAAATTTTTTAAATCTCTCAGTGTATCTGATCCATTAAAACGACGGACAATAAAACCATTTGTAATTTGTGGCCTCGATTCCTCGGGGATACGATCTAAAGCAGGGGGCTGTGGGTAGGCTTGAGGAAGACGGAATCTGAGCGTGGCTATTCCAGGTGTTCCTTGGCTTGGCTCTTTCGGAAGGGTCTCAGCAGCTCGTTTTTGTCTCTCCAAAGCAACTCTTTCACTCTCCTCGGCTATTCTCTGCGCCTCCGCTTCTTTCGCTGCCAATTCCGCTAATTCCCTTTCTTTTGCTTCTTTCTGCAAGCAAACCACACACGCACACACATGCCAATTTAAGCGCGATAAAATTTAGCGGTGATTCGAAGTAATTGAAACCTGCCTATCAAATACTACTTATAATCAAATTCAATAGGTGCGCGTAAAAATGAACTATGAGGAAAAAACACCAAGCACGTTCTCAAGACTAAATCCGATTCGAAACTGGAAAATATTTCCATTAAGAGGAATAGTCGTAAAAACCCAACGAAGTCAGAAGTTCGGTTCCAAGAGAGACATCCCCATCCATGGAGCGGGAAAAACAACGACATTGACTAAACTAGGTCAACAAATGAAATGACTGAAGTCGAATTTCTTAGATGTCAAAAAAACGCTCTAAGATGTTACTGTTAGCAATATCTATTAAGCTCTAAAAAGTTCAATACCTATGTCAGACATGATGTATGACACTCGCGTTCAAATCATCAGTCTTAGCAACACATCAATAAGTGAAAAGCACTTCACCAAGGTCTACCAAAATCAGTAGGATCCCGGAATAGGGCAACTTGAGTTCAGCAGTATTCGTTATTAAGGTCAGAATTCAAACAGAATTGCACTATAATAGGTTGCCAGTATTCCATCATGGATGTGAATAGAATATAAGTAGCAATTTGTAAGCATTCTAATCGATTCGAATTGAATAATTTGGAAAAAAAAGATCCAATGGATGTTCATGCTTGGTCAGACAGTAGGTAATATATCACCAACTCCAACGTTTCGCTTTTTCGACATGCCTTCAAGTCTCAATTCTCTTCAACTTCAGCCAGAAAAATTCATACAACCACGCTCTCTTGTCAGTTTCTCCCCCTCTCTCTCTGCTATTTCTGCTTGAAGTAATAATCCGATTAAAATATTTTATCTATTTACCGTTTGCACCTCCATATCCAATGACCCTAGTATTCATTCTACAACGCGTAAACATGACCTCATTAAAGGATACAATGACCTGACGAACGTTCGCAGAGCAAAACCTTTGAAAATTTGTGCAGAGTATACTTATTGCTGATAAATATTTCAAAGGAGAAATTACCACTCACATATCACAAAGTCTAATTAATTAAGTATAATTAACAATTAATTTCACACAATCTCTTAATAGAAATTTGCCGTTTCCTTCGAAAATAGAACTTCTGGTACTTTAAAAGTCAACACAGACCCTAACATTCCTTATTCTGGGGTGTGCGATAGACTTACCTCCACGTGGTGCATCCTGGGTAACGTATATTCATACGGCAAAAAAGTCTATTAACTGGCAGTTGACTTCTGACTTCAAAATACCATGATCCCACTGTATGTCATATTCGACCCCTTCACAGTACTCATCTTACCTTTTCTCTGCCTCTGCGTCTGTCCGTCTATGTTACATCTGTGAATCACTCTTCTCTTCCTCATAATGAATTTTTCTCACTTTGATATAAATCATTATTCTGTCCACCCTCTCGACTTTTTGTCACTTTGATGTCCTCCTCTCTGTGAAGCCCGAAGTCAGCTAAAGGGCTAATGATAACTATCATAAAGCCTGCCATTTGAAATAAATAAATATACATTCCTTATTCTTAATTGGCTATGTTAGAAAAAGGGGTTTCAGATTAAGCATAACGAGACAACACTAACCTTCAACCGGTCCTGTCGTAGGGATTCCTTGTACGCTCGATCCTGTTCTTCACGCATGTTTTCTCGAGCCAATCTTTCACTATCAGCCAGAATTTCAGGGGCCAAAAGGTGAGAGTAGAATCGCAGTTTCTCATCGAGTTGAGATACAATAGTTTCGGCATTCAAGCCGCCTTTGTTCCTCCTGCCTCTTGCCAACAACAACGAAGAGGAGGAAGAAGAGGCCCCAAAGTTAGAAGCATCCATTAGAGGGGGGAAGCTATCAGTGTCATCACTGTCACCAATGCCATGGGAAGCATCAGCGAAAGCCGAAGAGAGAGGCGTGTGGAGATAACCGTGGCCCGTAATGATAGCAGCAACTTCATAAGCGCCAGCCACTTTACAGATCATGATCAGCAGGGGGTAGCTTTCAAGGCCATCCAAGTGTACAATTTCTGACGCCAGGTGGCTCAGTCTGGGTTCGAGGAAACTGAGGAAAGCTCCTCTTCCCGCCTCAGAGGTGACATCCCATGGCCAAATTTGAAGGTTGTTCCCCTCTAAGAACGTGGACATCACATTCGAGCAGAGGACCTTGGAACAAAATATATTCGAGGCGATACTGCGGTCATGATGCAGGTAGATCAGCATGGGCTTGCGCTAAAAGAGAAATAACAGCAATGACAAAAAGCTATTCCCATTCGCTTGAAGGATGATACAATAATGATAACGAATTTTTCTCAGCTACTTTTCCCCCTGATAAAAGTATATAAAATGACAATGAACTCTCCAAAGCCTAGTCATTTCCGTCTATTCATCGAAGCTAGCTTTCCTTGCTGTCTTCAAGGCTCAACTCAAACCATTTGTCTATCGATCGATAATGACTTTTGCAACAACGCGTCTGGAATGTCATTATTGTCCAAGCACGACTTATACACCAATTTCTTTAATAATATCATCAGGGAAAAACAAAATGGTATAAAGGTGTTACAAAAATCGTCTAGAAGAGAAAACTGTACCATTGTCAATCGGTTTTACTCAAAACAAAGGCTTCAATAAGACCCCAATCCCGCCACTGAAACGAGAGCAGGATGGTTTATGAAGTTCCACACAGAAAGTGTCTTAAAAACTGAATGCATTCTGTCCATTGAATGGTTGGATTTTATTATAAAACTGACAGGGGGATTTGAGGCTTCTTCTTCTACAGGGTCCAATACGATGGAAATAAACCAAATGATGAGGTGAAACAAAAATGACACTAAAGATTTATCAAGCCCATCGGAAGGAAGGGGGTTAATTTAAAACAAAAGCACACCATTCCACGTCAATTATTAAGAATCAGAGATCGTTCACCCCCCTCCTTCATATGGTAAAACATCAATAGGCCATGGATCCGGCAAACTACCGGCTTGTTAGATAAGCCCATTGATCACTGCGCGAAAATTTGGCGCAAATCTGAAGAGCAAGCAAACCAAGTGATGGGAGAGGAAAGATGGGACCTACCTCGCTGGGCCTTTGAATGCCAAGAGTCTGTGCAAAGGCCTCACTAAAATTCTGAAGACAGAAGGGAGGCAAGCCGGAGTCTGTCTCGTTGCAATAGCGTTGAACAAAAACGACAAAGAAGTTCTCCAATGCTTTCATCGGATTGCCAACAAGATTTTCGGGAACTAAAATAACAAATAATCATTAAATAATTCTCATTAACTAAATTGTTATTTTTTAATTTTGAATTATTTATCATTAATATTAAAATGTTTTATTTGTTGTACTTGTAAATGTCTTCACGAACCGCCGTCATCCTGGAGAGCGATTTGTAGATCGTTTGCACAACTCAATGACGACAAAGGATTACAAACCCAACAAATAAAACAAACTAATTTGAACACTAACAAATTTGAACTTTTTTCAGAGAAAAGGTGAAATAGATTATGAATTGGCTGGAACAGCTACCTAAGTGCACGATTATTAATGAATTATTTGTTAAAAGTCTTTCGAACCGCGAAAGTGCTTTAATAGTTCAGCCATCAGAGATGGCCTTTGTTTTTTTCAACTAGATCATTCTTTTTGGGCCTTCTCATTTTTTGAATGAACCTCGATACCTATTATCAAAATCCTTGGATTAATCGAAGGCAGTTATAGAATCAAAAGGCCCAAAAAAACGACTATAATATTTCATTGCAGGCAACCTGAAAGCTGTACACACGAAAACTTCCAGAATATTGACCAACCAAGACTTGATTGAAAATCAACAAAGGAAATGCTAAGTGGGGAGAAGAAGAAGACCGGAGCCGCATGACTCATCCAAATACCCCCCCCCCGCCCCTCGCCCCACCCTGAAAAAGGGATAAGTCATCACTAAGGCACGCAGAAACAACAAGATTTCCAGCGAACCCAAAGAAGTTCCACATGGAAGATGCGGATTAAAAATGGCACAGCCGGAAAAACATCAACTAATCAGAGGGAGAGAGAGAGAGAAGGCATCTTCAGCTGTGTTGATCCCACCAACTCTGATGGGTCAAATAATGGCTAATGAACATTGCATAACTCCGCGGATTAGCTTATAACGAATCGTTATTAGGAAAAAAAGAAAGATATTATTTGAATAGTAAACACTAACAAGTGATCGACGAAGTCATCTAAAGCCTTGTTCAAGTTTAGTGCGATAGCGACAAAGTATTAGTATCTAAAACACCGAGAGTCAGCGCTTATGACTTCAAACTACAATGGCCCCACTGTATGTCATATTCCACCACTTCCGCAGTACTCACCTCACCTTATCCTATTCTCTACCTTTGTGTCTGTCTCTACATCTAAATCG